CATACCACATAAATGGTTTTTTAGCACTAGTAGTGGTTAACCATTCTCATGACTCATTTAAAACAAGAAGAAAAAGAAAAAAAACCATTATCTGCCTTTATCTGGAAAGGGATGCCTTTTTTCACAAAATATGTCACTGTGCTCAGCTGAAGAAGTCATACGTAAATGTCTTACTAGTATAAGAGGTCAGACCAAATGATCTTTGTAGCACAAAAATCTGTGCATCTTTGACTTGAAATAGTTTGTGTTATGCTAAGAAGGATCCATGTAAACAAAAGGTACCAGAAAAGTTGAGGAACGGAGGAAGTAAAAGTTCCTCTACCAAAAAAAGAGACCAGCAAATCATAGAATGGTTTGGGTTGGAAGGGCCCTTAAAGACTACATAGTTCCAACCCTCCTGCCATGGGCAGGGACACGTTCCACTAGACCAGGTTGCTCAAAGCCTCATCCAGCCTGGCCTTGAACACCTCCAGGGATGGGGCATCCACAGCTTCTCTGGGCAACCTGTTCCAGTGCCTCACCACCCTCACAGTTAAACATTTGTTCCTAATATCTAATCTAAATCTTCTTTCAGCTTAAAAGCTGTTACCCCTCATTCTATCACTAACACTCCCTGATAAAGAGTGTTTCCCCATCTCTCCTGTAGGTCCCCTTTAAGTACTGGAAGGCTGCTATGAAGTCTCCCTGGAGCCTTCTCATCTCAAACTATTTTCCAAATGATAACCATGGACCATTTAAGCATTTGTTACTTTTTGTTCTTAAAATAATATTTCCACTAAAATTATATTATCAGGACATGATATTTACACTGGGCCTTCTTGTTGTTCTTCTCCCTCAATTAATTATGACACATTTGGGATAGGTACCATTCTTCCTTTAAAGTTAAGAGCAAATTTTGCACACTGTGCTTACTACCAGAAATAATAATTCACACTGATACATTATATCCACATTAATTTTGCTTTTATTTTCATGTACATTTAGATTTGCACTGGAATATGATAAATTTCTGCCACAGCATGAGTGGAGAACTCCCATAGCTGGCGATGACTGATGAATGACAACTGTAATTGCAGATCAGTCATAAAGCTTGTTAGAAAACAAGACTAATACATGGGAGCCTCTCACTGGCTGACAAGCATAACAACACATTTATTACTAGAAACTATATGAATTTTTTAACTCTGTGATATTACAAAATATGTTGATTATCCTGTTTTTTCACAAGAACAGTCCTTAGACATTTACATATGTACAAAAAAAAAATTGGAAGGGGACTTAGATTTCATATTAAGACGGCAATCCAATTTTCTAGTTAGTCCCTTAAATATAGCTGCCCCTTCTTTAATAATAGCTGCCAATAAAACCAACAGATAACTCTCTCATACAGGTTTCAACATGCAAATTGATTTCAAATAGACATCCAGCTGTGGTAAATGACTTCTTGTTCCATGCAATCACAATTGATTCTTGCCCAATCCACATATATTCACATGAAAATGGTCATTTTGGAGAACTAGAATGTTATACCTAGTATTTTATACCAGGTATACTGGTATATATACTTATTTACAAACTGAATGACTTTCTGTTTTAGCAAAAAACTTCTTTTTAGTAGGTAGAGAAATAATTCAATAGTCCAGAAAAGGATACAATGGGAAGAAGCAATGAAATCAATGGAAATTAAAGAAAATGCTAACAAACGTTCTTCATGCATACCAACATACACCACTACTGTACATATGTTAGAATAGTTTTGATAATGCATAATTCTTAACACTTTGTCTAAAAAAAACACTGTTATTGCCTCTTGTAGCTTAAGCAGGACAGCTTGCTTGTATGAATGTTTGACAGAAATTAAAATGAATTAAATGTTACAAACAAAATATTAGCTCTTTATTAATCCCGAAGCAGAAATCAGAATTACTTTAAACCATAAAGAAATTAGTGATGACAGACTTAAAGTAAAAAGGCTCTGAGTCTCCTTTATTGAGTTTTGTATAAACCAAATAGCGTATCTGTCGAAAAGTAAATTAGATTTTAAAGTTTCATTCATCGAAGACACATTTAATAAAAAACAGACTTAGTTTATACATTTGACTATTAACCTGAAACTGGTTCGTTTGTTTGTTTCTTTTAACTTAAGCTAGATGTATCAGAAATGGATAACATCAATAATACAATTAATTTGCTTGGTACAGAAGGTAATGATTTCATCAGTGAGCGTGAATAATAACAAAACAAATGAAGTTATCAGTTGAAAAGAGTAAATAGAACTAGTACCTCTACGGCAAAAGTAAAGGGAGGTTGTGATGACCACATGTTAGTAAGTGAATTTTTATTAATTTCTATATCCTGTGTCTCCATATGAAAATTCTCCAAACTACTTCAAAATTTAGAAATATTGTAAGTACTATTGTGCTAGCAAACCAGCCTGGATACATGTTATTTTGATGACTCCAATAAATTCTCTATGTAAGAATGAAAAAAGTTGTGATGGTAAAGATCAAATGAGGATCACAAGTGAAACAAGCTCTACCTGTCTAAGGTGCAATCCAAATAAAATATTACCTTGCTCTATTTTCCAGAGTTTACTTATGCTCTCTAGTAAAATGAGGGCATAAAAAAAACCCCACCAGACTTGGTGCTTTAAAATTACATTTTAAGCTGAATCTTCTGTGTTTCAATTGACTCTTGAATATTTCAGCTGAACTATACACACCAAGAGCCTAAAATTAGATAATCTAAAACCATGCTGTATCCCAATTCCTTAGCAAGAAATGGACTTCTAATATATTCTAATGTTTCATACTTACAGAACTAAACTATACAAAATAAATAGCACCTTAACAAATAGAGGAAACTACTTTAGTGTAAAAAATGCAATTTAATGATTGTAATTTAATTAGCAGTATTTTTTTCTATTCTTAAAGGCAAGTTGATACAGCAGTTGCTCAAAGTAACTTCTGTACTAAAACAGGCTGGTTTATCAACACATGAAGCAAGAGAAAGATGTTGCTCAAGGTATAAACCTTAGATTTTGTTAACTTTTGGCAAATTTTACTTTTAATTTTGGCAAAAAAAATCAAAATAGTTTTTAATTTGCAAAATATATCATGGAATTTTGATATAATTCAAATAATTCTAGTATATCTACTTCAAAATAAGTCTACTACTCTTCATTTGTGTTCACTGCCTGCATTTAAGCCTCACGTGATTTCACATTCAGTTAAGCATTTCCACTGACTGAATTCTGTTGTCAGTGAATAAAATGAAACTTGCAGCATGATACGCAGAACACAGAAATGCATTTTTTTCTTCTTTAAGGAGAATAGCATGATCTCAAAGAGGCAATATTTGTATTTAACTCTAGAACAATTTTAAAAAACTAAGAAAACACAGGAATATTGCCATTTATGTATTTAAAGAAAATCACTTTTCAAATTTAATTCTGTTTAGAAGACCTATTCCTTACTTATTCCTATAGAAAACTTTTGTTTTGCCTGTGCTTGGTAATCATAAAATCAGGTGAAAAATTCCATTAAATATCTTCCAAATCAGTAAAATGAGAGAGTACTTTAAAGGAAAAAAGAAAACAGCCAAGTTAAAATATTGATTTTATTTAAACACATCTGAAAGAAGAATGCTGCTCTTTTCAGAAACTCTGTTGTTCTATTAAAGTCATATAAAATACAGGCAAATGTTAATATGCACTCTTTTTTATTTTGTAACTCAAATATAAAATTCTCTGTTGCTAGATGAAAGCTCCCACTATGTTACTGATATTTATACTATTCATTAAGACTCTTTACAATTTTTATTTTCAGAAAATAATGCTACACAGTTTTTGGATGAAATAATAGTTTTTTACATTTTACAAGAATTTTGTATTTACCCATAACAACCATCTTAAGAATCAAAATAAAGATATTTTATCAGATAATCTAAATTATCCAATGCTATCATAAATGTTCATCATAATTCCAAATAGAAGAATATTAAGATTTCCACTCATTACATTTGTTCCTAAAAATAGAGAGTCCTAATTTCATTGCTCTTTTAAGTACTGATGAATCTGCGTTATTAATGATGCTTTATCTGCTTTACTTTTCAAGATTTTTCAATTCTTTCTATGCTATGTTTCACAATTCTTTTCCCTATTACTTCCAAATCTCTACATCCAGACCAGAACACCCAGGAAAATTAGGTAAAAGTATTCATTAGGGCTATGCAGCAAAGCTAAACTAGGTATAAACCCATTTTCCTAATAGAAATAAGGGCTGATTCAGTAAGCTCTTAAGGGAAAGTACTGTGCTCATGTTTAAGTGTCCACAATATTGTCTATCACAGTTGTAACAGAATGCATCTTCCCACAGCATTGCACGACACTTCCATAGAGCTTTTAATCTGGAACAGACTTTGGAGACATACCACAGATAAGAACAAAGTGTTAAAAGGTAGTGTCTCAGTATTCTGAACAACTGGAAATATTTTGAAATGTTACCAAACCTACTCTAATAATCGAGCAAACAAACAGAACAAATACAGGAAAGTTACAGATACCTATCTGTAACTTACATTATTTAACATTTAGATCTAACAGTTATACTCAACAACACTGTGGTTTTTCTTATGTTTTCAGAAAAAATACAGAATGTTAATGGAGGCTGTTTTAGTTCCCAAGCTGACAAATATTCCGCTCAGACAAACTATTATGTGAGCATTTCCAAAACATTCACTGGTATTACTTTAATGCAAAAATTTAACCTATGAAATTTGCAAGCTGTCAAGGGAAAGACTGGCCTTTGTGTCTAAGCTTTCACAGTATTCTTACTCCTGTATCTTACTTTATTGCTTATTTTACAAATAGTACTATGTAGTACCTATTCTGACAACATATTGCTATATGTTCTGTCACAAAAATTGTGTCAGTCTGCCAAGAACATCTGAGTGACTAAGAAACCAGACTCAAAGATGTTGCATCAGTCTGAAATACTTACTGTTGCTGGGGAGGCCCGCGTTGTATGAGTCACTGAATGACCAGAATTTTCCATTGAATTGCCAATCAGATAGGTCCCTCCTGAGCTGCTAATGAGTTGTCCTCCTGTGACACCCATCTGAATCCCTCCAGTGCCCACCATGCTATGAGATGAGACCACTGTTGTCACCTGTGCAGAACTTCCTTGAGTATCAAAATAATTTCCCCCTGTGTTTTGGCTGTACATCTGGGTTTCCGTGTAAGGGTAAGTTGTTGATCGGCTTCAAGAAAAGAAAACAAAAGGAAAATAAATTATTTGTATTGTTCATTTAGCTGAAGGAAATGTTATAATCTAGAAATGTATGTACAACAGCTATAACCAAATTCAGTAAGATTGGCAAACAGACCCTGTCTCCTCAGAGAATAACATTTAATCAAGACAAAGCACCAAATAACTAATTCAGTGACAATGTTAAACAAAGGATCCACCACACCTTACAGAAATATTTGTTAGTCTTACCTTAAGAGGAGGAGAGGAGGGAAGCATGACAAAATTGAGGAGACAGGCAGAAAGAGCTCATTCAATTATTAATACATTGCAAAACAATTAATAAAGCTCCATTTGTTTTAACTTCTTTTAATCCGACAATAACATTTTGAATTTTAGACAGATGTTACATATTTTGCATACTGTGCATGTTGCAAAATTGCAAACAATTCATACAAATGACAGCCAAGAGTCCAAAGCTCAAGAATCATATGTTATCTATTGTTTTTAAATCTTTGAAGTTACTGACTGAAGCTCGAAATTCTCAGTTCACTGGTAGCCTGGGGAAAAATGCAGTTATTTTTATGGGGTGACTTCAAAATTGGACATGAATTCATGTTATGATAAAAAACTGCATTTAAGAAATTAAAAAAAAAAAAAACCTTGTAAAAAGTCAAAGATGAAAGAAATTAAAGGTATACAACAGTAACATTTTAAAAATTAATTTAAAATATGAAACATTCATGGCTCATTAATCAGTTTATCCTAACAAACTATTCAGCTATTGAAAGCTTCTATCATATGTTTCACATTCTTAATCACTTATTTTGAATCATTATTCTTCGTAGGTTATAATCCATTTATAGTTTTTTGAATGTGTGTTTGTTCCCATGCACTGATTTTACCTTCAAATTAGCATATTTCAAATTTGTTAAGTAAATAGCATTATTTCAAAGGCCAGATTCTTCATTTTGGAAAAGTCTGTTTGGAAATTTTATCATGTTTCATGAGCACTAAGCTTTGTATTTTGGCAAGCATGATAATAGAAAGGTCAAAAAAGGTAAAAATCAGTCACTTTAGCCAAAAATTCATTTACTCATTTAATCATAAAAATCTGTAATATTGCTTGTAATCAACAGGCAACACCATTTTGAAAGTCAAAGTTCTCCACTAACTTGGAGTTGCATGTGCTGAGATTCACTTAGTCCAAGTAAATAAATTTTTAAAGTATTATGATTCAGAGAAAATAGAGAGGTGCCCAATCTGCCAAAGCCTCCACTTTGCTTAGTATAACTAAACAAACACAGAATTATGTGACACAAGACACTCTCGTCTAAAAACACAAGAGGAGGAAGCAGCATCCACTTTTTTATGCAGTAAACTGGTGATGAATGCACCTATCCATGAACTTGAAGTCAGGCTTTTTTTTTCCCCTTTATCTAGACAGGGATTAGTTTCTTATCAATATATATATAAGGTCATGGCACTTACTGTTTGCTGCTACGGTTTTTTAATGATGAAAACTTACACAGGATTAATTAATTGGTAAACAACGGACTCAGACATAATGATTCCTTCTTTAGCTTCAGAAAAGCATTACTTTCAAAAATCTAAAGAACATATGGCACCTTATCAACAACCAAAGTCAGAACTTTTGTCATACTAACTATAGCCACAACAGCTTCTCCCTTCCTCTTCAGAAACTTTCAGAAACTCCAAAACTTTAGTTTTAAAATCCTAAATGTTTTATAAGCCTCACACTACATTATTTGCTCTCATCCCTCCTTAAGCTACTTAAACATTTTCCTTTTTATTTTGAGTATTTAAAAAGCCTCAAGATCAGCTGCAAGAAACTTGAAATTAATCTAAAACAAATGCTTTGCAGTCTACTGAAAACAAAGCAAAATAGTTCTTTTAGGGACTAAAGATCAAGCAGACAGTTAATCTGGTAACATGTCTTTTGGAGAGTTAAAATTAGTGGACCTTTGCATTGTAGTAACCTGTGTATGTGCTTACGTACTGTGCAGGTACCGACGAATCTGTTTTATCAAGCCATGGTATAATTGTGATACTTTGTGATACCATTGTGATATTGTTTATCCTGTGATAAGCAAGACAACCGGTAGCAGAGCTGGTGTTGCATCTGTCTCAGAATCACACAAGTTACAGAATGAGAAGAGTGTTATGCAGAAGAAGACAATTCAGGAAAATGTAGTGATGGAACCTCAGAGGAAACAGTTCATGCAAATGATCGCCAAGGGACTGAACACTGTGATTTCTCCCAAAAGAGAAAAGAAAAACTCGGTATCAGTATCAGGTAACAGTAAGGAAAGAAACAAAAGGACAAGGCCATTGTTGACACTAAAAATAGACATGGCTAGAGGAAAAAGACTATTCAAAACATGTGAGGAGAACAAATGTCACTTGCAGAAGTGGAATTCGAAAGGCAGTTCTTAGAAGCAATGCAAACCCCAGAGAACACTCAAAATTTCACAAGAAAAACAGACTTGGCATGGAATAGGGAGAGAAAGGAAAAATGCCTGTTTGCTTTTACCTTGTTTAGATCTATATTTCTTGTATCACCTCTAAATTGGGACTGATTTTATCAGAACACCTTGCTTACAACAGTACTCTGTATCAATGGATCAAGAACAATCATTGGGGTACACCAATGGGTCACACTCTAAGATAAACACACTCTTCCCTTTGTTCCAGCAACCAGCAGGTTCTTCTAGATTAAGCGAACCTTTAGCAATAGATATCAACAGGGTAAGCAAAAGTGAGACTAAACCATTATTATTACCTGCAACAATAACTGCAACTTAGCTAAATGCCTTTTAATTTAACCAAAATACAAACTAATCCATCTGGATTTTAAAAATACATCTAGACGAGATGTTTTGGAAAGCAGTGACTCAAAGATTTTAAGGTCATTGCATACGCTAATACGACCTCTCAACATAAAGCTGTAGCAATAAGCAAAATACAATGTTATATCCTTTAAACACACACACAAGGGATGACGTTAAATAAGGAAGTAGTCTTCTACTTCTCCATAGCACCTGTAGAACAAACATGCAATACTTTCTCAAGTAATCTCACATATATCATATAGTCAGTTCTTTCCCATGGCGAAGGTTGTAAAAGCACTTCTAGATTTTCTTTTCTTCAGCAGCAGCACATGAAGACCATCTAGGGACAAACCTCAATTTAACTGAAGTTTTCTGACTGTGGCTTGAGATACAAGGTAGGCACCAGGATCTAATAGCTCCTCCTATCGAAACACTATGAATTCAGTGTTTACTAGAATATAGCATTAGAAAGTTCAACACAGTTACTAATAAGTTTGAAGTCCAAGTAGTTAGGGGGCAGAACCCTATTTTTCAGAAGGCTGTGCAAACTAGATGATGTTTACCCTGAGAGCAAGCCACACAAAGTCAGACACTGTGTGAATTCCATTTAGAAGAAGCAAGACCAGAACATGTGTCCGATGCTGAGATCCCACACTGGAAGTTAATGAGACCAGCATGAGTTGGACTAGGATTGCAAGGTACAATAAATAGTTCAAGGCATCACCTATTATGCCTTATTGCTTACATATATTTTATAATGATTTGCAAAATACAATGCTAGAAATAAAACACATGGAGCTGTGGTATACGGTTGTTAATAAAATTATATTTTTGGCCCATGACTCATTTCTAAATTCAGTAAGCCCCAGCATTACCACACAAATTAAGTGCAATGTCTTGCATTATATTACAGACACTGACATAATGTTACTGAGCTTAACTTTTAAAGACACTTTAGTCTCTTCAAAGATGGTGACACCTTGAAGAGAGGAGACAAATAAAAACCATGGCACAGAAAGAGTAAACCTTGTTGTTTTCCTGCCTTAGTTTTCAGTGTGCACATGCACACGTGGGAAATCATTAATTCCCAGCTGTACCTATCTATTGACTACTATAAATCAGTGTTCCTGCAGTGCCATCCCGTCTCATTAATTAACATAGGCTTATCATGGCCCCAAATTTTCTTTAAGCAAGTAGTTAATGGGACAGACTTATGTTTCTTGTATTTATATTTATCAACCACATACTTATGCCAGTTTTATTCATATCTTAGAAATGTCTGCCTTGTTCCATCACTCTGTGTTTTAGTTAAAAAAACCAAAGTGATTTATTTCCTTTTCCAGGAATTGAGAAATGTAGTGTCTTTAAATAAAAATTCTCAAATCGGGTTAGAAGTCCAGACAAGTTAGCTCACATAGCTTAGCAGGCAGATATGTCAGGATTCTTTAATTATAATTTTTCTAATGAAAGTTAGCCTTTTATGGTACTTAATTAACCAAGGTTTATTTACTGGGATAGGAATATGATAAACACTAGATGAAAGTAAATAATTCAAGATATACTATTATTTATATGCAGAATAGCTAATGCTCATGATAACGCTACAGTATTGCAATATGACAGAAAACTTCCACGCATAAAAGCCAAGAAAGTCTTTCACGCCCGAACAATATCCTCAAACTCCTTTAAGATTTTGGTATAATCCTCTGGTCCTAAAGCTGATAGTGAGCTTCACAGAAACTAGAAGGAACAGCACCCTTTGTCTAACACTGAGGGAAGGCCTTATCACAGCCAGCGCATTGCTGCAGCTTCTGGAGGTGGTATATCATAAGCAGTGGGAAGGAGGGGAAGGGCCATATACCCTGACACTGACAGAACATGGTACAGCAGTCAAATGATAATGTAGAGAGCTAAATCATCTGTCCCGGCCTGTCTCATACAACCTCCTGCCTTCCCACAAAGAAATCTACTTCTGTAACCAGAATATTGATTCAGGGCTTTTTAATAACAGACCAAATCCCAATGAAGCAATACCCTTCTTCCACAAAAGCCTCCTCAATTGATCTAAAGACAGAGATGGAAGAACTGATAAGACTGGTAAGTCATAATTTCCTTTCACAAATCCCCCTTTATCAAATGAAACTGCTAAAACCAAAGATCAAAACCTACACTATGAAAGGGCAATAAATGTGTCTATAACCAAAGAACAGAAATTTAAAGTAAGCAGTTTCCTCTGTAATAGTGAATAGTTGACCTGCTTTATGCATATAGACTTTCTCTATATGGACAACTCAAAATGAATCAGCCCAAAAAAGCTTTATAAAAATTTACCTAAAATAGAGTTCCATTATTCCATATAAAGAAATTCTTATTTGTCACATTCAAAAATTAAATATGTTACCAACAGGCATTCATTATCAATAAAAACTTGCTCTACCACTTTTTTCAGATGGAACCATTGACCTTAGTATGCAGAAGGGTAGTAAAAGGGTAAGCATAATGCCAGAGAAAAAAAGGATGGATATAAGGAAGTACTAGGAAGATAGTATTGATAATACTGTATTGATAATAATTCTTTGATGTGACAGTTAAGATTTCAATTAGAGTAATAATAAATTCTTGGTTTTGCATACAAGGTGTGTTTCACCCATATAACCCACACAAATTCTAGGACAACAAATTGGAGAAAAATGCAGTATGTATGCAACAGCAGAAGCGATTCTTGGACAACCCTAGCAATTAAAATCCTCTTTAGCACACTAGAATTATCAGGTAAATGGCTACATTTGATTAATCGTTTACAATTTATGTAAGAAGAGAGTTCATGTCTAGTATAGGGGACTCACGTGGCTTCTTAATATAGGTGCAGCCATAATATTCTTTACCTATTCTAAACTGCCAGGTAAGCCTGTACATGTCATCGCAACAACAATGCATTTTTGTGTCAGGATAGAGTGACATGCTTGACAAGCAAAATTGTTATTAACCAGACACAAAGGTAGATAACATAATTCAAATATTCTCATATTATACAACGTAAGTGACAAGTTGTAGGTTACACCCCTTGTATTATCATTATGCTTTTTTTTAAGCATAGACAAAACATGATATAAAATGCATGGGAAGAATTCTATCATAAGAATACAACAGTTACACTTGACAAAGACTGTGAAACCTGACACATTCTTACATTTACAATCAAAAGAATCAGGTTAACTCTTTCTTAAATACATATTCTAATTGCATCCTTTGTTGCTATCATATATGGACTTAAATCAATGCTAGTTTGAAAGTGCTTTATTTTGAAATAAAGAATAATTCTTTCATCAGACATGCTGTAACATTTATTCCAGAGATGCCTGTACACTGAATTAATGTCTTCACCCTACCTATGGGTCATAGACTTCTTATTCCATTGCTAGACCAGTACTGTCACTTGGTAGATCATGGAAGCAGCCTATATCTGCTTTTGAGTTAGGATTAAGATTTTGATTTACCATGGTCATAAAATAAATCAATTATATAGTCATAGGAAGACAACCCAAAAGACAACTCAAATTATCACTCTAGTCAATCGCATCATTTACAAACCCAATCCTATTTTCTGAAAGTGAAATACAATTTCTGGAGTGGGAGTAACTGGACAAACTGACAGTAACACACTTCTGTGAATCTGTCAGGATCCACAAGGCTCATTTTTCAGGTTTAAGTATGAAGAACATAAAAGACGAACTGCAGTCTGAACACTTGCCTAAATATTTTAGCACAAGAGAGGCTGGCCTCTGTGTTTTCTGTCACAGCAGAACTTGACACAGTCTATGCCAGCTTTGTTTAGCGATATGGTAAGCTTCCAAATACTCTAAAATGTCACTCCCACACTGATATAGCTCTGAACAAGCTAATCCAGTGGTAAAACAAGGAGAAACAAATACATCTTTTTTTTAAACCACAGAACTTAGGTAACAATAAAAACAGCAAACAGAAAAACAATTCTTTAATCCCTGAAGCAACCTAGAGCCCCATTCTCCTTCACCTGCCAAATAAATGGCACTATAACATGTAATACATATATTCAGTAACTTTACATAAACTACATTCATCTATTCTTAATCTGGAGTATGAAAGTATATGGGAAAATGTGTTTCACAATATATAGTCTTTAAAAATGCTGAGTGGAAACACAGACTGTTCCTAAAAGTACTGAACAAGGAATTGGCTGCCCACAATGTTGTTGTTCACAACAACATGGGTACATTCTTCTTCTGTAGGAGTGAAAGACCATCTGGATTAGGCTACCTGCTGATGAGAGCTTTCTTCTTGCGTTAAGGAAGCCTTTTACAGCCCATTGACTGATTTTGGAGAAACTGGAGAAACAAGGGGATTCAGATATAGAAACACAATAAAATCATGGAAACCTGAAGGTTTGTACTAGGCAGTCAGTAACATCTAGTTCTGTTTTTTTCAAGGACTGTAAGCAGTCACAAAGTACAAATCTCATACACTGACAGAAGTGCATATACCAACAGCTCAAATAAGAACTTACAAGTGATAAATGAAAAGAGAAACTTGAATAATAGCTCATTTAATAATGACTTCTTTTGGAGGACAGCACTGGACTATCATAGTTGCAATGAAGTCATGCTGCCACTGAACGCTGCTGTAAGGGACATGCTAGAACTCCTGAACTGGAGTCAAAGGCAGCCAAGTGGTACGCTGCAACTGATATCCCCAATGACTTCTTCTCGATCCTTTTGGCAGCTGAGTGCAGTCCACAGTTTGCTTTGACCTGGGGAGTAGCCAGTACACCTGGAATCCACTGCCCCAGGGGTAGAAACATTTGCTATGCTCCCTTTTTTCCTCTCCATGTTAAAGACTGATTTTGGCTTTTGCAGTTACAGAAATCAAGTAATGAATACTCTGACAAGGAATAAAGGGGTCCTACCTCCAGTCACACAGAGGAAAGGGACAACTGGGTTTACTGGACTGTGTGGTACTGGACTGCCTGGCACATCAGACCCGTGGAAGATAGCTGGTGCCATAGCACTCACACTGGTACGAAGAGGACAAGATGTGAAAAAATATGCTTTGCACCACAGCCAGAGACCATAGTCCCATGCTGGGTGTCAAAAAGGACTGTTCCAGTTTAACCCCAGCCGGCAACAAGCCCCTCAAAGCCACTTGCTTGCTGTCCTTCTGGTGGGATGGGGTGAAGAATCAGAAGAGTAAAAGTTAGAAAACTCATGGTTGAGACAAAGACAGTTTACTAAGTAAAGCAAAACAAGGAATTCATTCAGTGCTTCCCATCTGCAGGCAGGTGTTCAGCCATCTCCAGGAAAGCATGGCTCCGTCACACATAATAGTTACTTGGGAAGACAAACACCACCACTCCAAACATCCCCCACTTCCTTCTTCCCCCAGCTTTCATTACCGAGCATGATATTACGTGGTTTGGGATACCCCTTCAGTCAACTGTCCCGGCTATGTCCCCTCCAAGCTTCTTGTGTGCCCCCAGCTTACCCACTGGTGGGGTGTGAAGCAGAAAAGGCCTTAACGCTGTGTAAGCGCTGCTCAGCAGTAACTGAAACATCCCTGTGTTTGGACTGTTTGCAACAAGTCCAAAACATAGCACCAGACCAGGTACTACGAAGAAAATGAATTCTGTCTCAGCCAAAACCAGTACAATAGGGAAGTCTAATGCATATTTAAGATAACATGGTTTAGGACTTATAAGGGAGAAGAAAATAGACAAGACAGTATGCAAAAAATGAATTAAGCAAATTATGCTAGTAGAGATGACAAAAGACTGCTGCCAGTGTTAACATCAGAAGTCCCTGGTTGAAATACTATTGCTCTTTTGAATCACTTTTGGCTTACCATCAACAAAGAAGTACCTGCAGACAACAAAGAAGCTTTCTACATCTTATTTCTTGTTAAAGCCAGTAACACAGCAAAAACGGTAAAAGCTAGGTAAATGAAAAAAAATGAGGCTCCTTCCTCAGCAACATGATCCTACATTGATATTTGAGCCAATTTCAAAGATAGCACTGCTCCAAGTTGGGGATTAGACTAGGTAACCTCCAGAAGTCCCATCAAACCTAGATTATTCTTTCTGTGTTTCTAAGCTTGTGCATCGGAGAAAGGAATTTGATGATGGAGAAGCATGTTCAGGGGTACAGGAAATACACAATAATGTGCAGAAAAGAGGCTAAAGAAGCAGCAGAAGGAGACAATGTTACTCTCCTTCCTCTACCTCTCCTAATTCTTTTGGAAAAAAATACTTACTAAACACAGGAACGAAATTACATTACTACTTTCTTCAAATAATAACTACAGCTGCTGCACCTTCCTATGCATTTGCCACTACGATTGCAGCCAGGAAGACAGAAGTTCTGTCCTATGGACAGAACTTACCCATAAACTGAAAGGTACTTTTTGAAACAACACTACACTGTATATGTAATTTCACATAAGTTCAGCTAAAACAATCACAAGAATTTTATTTACACAAAAATTTTGCCTTAGTAAAAAGAAACAGTATGAATTCAGCTTTTCATAAAAAAAAACTATTTTGACAATAACAGAGCTTTGATAGAATAATTTTTCTTTCCAACTTAAAATATACCAGGTGGTAGAATCTAATTGAAAAATATATTTAACTTCACATTTTAATAAACATTAAAATTCTAATCATTTGCCAACTTACATAGCTCCATTAGTGTAGACTGTGTCACTTCCCTCCACATACTGAACCTGGGCTGGGTAGACATGCTGTACCTGTTGCACAGTTTGCACTTGCTGTACCTGAAAACAAGAACACCAGAAATCTGGGATATTGCAAAGGACTGATGCTTCAGTGCACCTAATGGCTTCTAAACAATATGTGATATCTCTGTTCTCATACTCACTACAGGTATGTCATAGCAATAGCAAAGAAAGTTACTCCTCTTAGACAATATTTGTGTTGTAAGGCTGGTAAATGGAGCCTTAACATTGAAGATGCATGCTCACAGAGCATGTGTGCCTTCAGTGCTGAAAACAGAACTAACTGGAAAGTGTAAAAAGGATGAAATGAAGTGTAACTATGCTTTGCACCAAGCTGAAGAATTACATTTATTATGGAATATAGTATTATTTGGCCACATGTATGCCTTTTTTAATTCAATTTCAGTCCTAAATAGTACATGCCTTAAAACCACAGCTCAAATTGGTTGTAGTAAGCTTAGAAATAAAGGGTTACATTAAGATGGTTTAGCTCTTGTTTAACTGGAGTTAAACTACAGTGACACAAGCTTTATTCCCAGTAATGCTTTGACCCAATGTACAATTACGGACCACAAACCCCAAACCAAGGAAACCCTTTCCCAGGATATCATCCACTACACAAACCCTAACAAAACCTGGTTTTATATCAATGAGCTAAACAGCAGAAAATAGTAAGGCATGGATTACATTACATACGTTGCTGAGATGGGATGCCTGTTTTGTAAAAGCACACATAGTCACAAATCAATTCCTTTGATTCATATACTATGTAGAGAAGCTCCAGGTTATGCTAATTTCCTGTCTGGACCTTATTTTTTGTCTTCTGCCACAGTAAATGTAAAGAATTCCATATTTTAAACTTGCCATAATTTAGTGAAGCTATATTTTGGTTCAAGAGCAGTCCAGAATCTAGAAGATGCAAAGGGACTTAAAAGCTTCACAGACTGGCACAATTTCACCCAAGGAACTGAATCAAGAAAGTGACAATGCTGATATTTAGTAAATAGATTCAAAATACTTTTAAGTGACTGTTATTTTTCTCAGCTATTTTGCTATGAAGCAACTTCAGCGTCAGTCAATTGGTCCTAAGGGTTGCAAACACCATGATTCCAGATGAACATGGGTTTCATGCATTTGATGGATCATCTCCAAGAGCTCTTTGAGAATAATCTAGTTTCATACCTTCAACTCTGCTGTATTTTAAAAAGTTCTGTAAATAAGCACATTTTTCCCAATCTTGTACAGTATTGGCTCAGACTGTGAAAGGAAAAAATCCATATTTTCACAGAAACCTTAAAACCTGACTTCTGAAAAAAACAGAACACCCAAGATTTTTAATGCGGGTATGCTAGCATGATGGAAAGTCAGATGTCTTTGTCCATTAACAGCAATGAGACACAACATGATGGTTAAAATATCTACCAAAATCCAAAGTTTTCTGATTTCCCATGTGAATCATTACATAAATTGACAAATATACCTGAAATACAATTCCACAATTTCAGAAAATACACATTGAAGATGTTTCTAATTATTAAGGTAAGGTACAGGAGTGTACATTTCCCCTCCTAATAATGTTTAGTTATTTAACAGAAAGATTCAGTTCTCAAAGTCAACACAAAAAACTCTAATCCAAATTAGCAATTATGCATGTTACTAGGCTTTAGAGCAATTTTTTGAATTAAAAAACTTAAATAGCTCTATTGTGCAAACATCTTTTCAAAGAAACTACTTCTATTTCCATCACCTTTGACTTCATAACTTAAATTAATTCAAATCATAACTCCATGAATTGGGCTTGATCCAAAACCACTGTAAGAAAGTTATGCCTCTCAACACTCAAATTTGCTATTCTGTGACAAAACTCACGCAACAATTGTCTAAAATGTACGTCTGCTTACTGTGAAACATATGAAACATATTGTGTTAATTTTTTAGGTTTGACTCTAAAAGTATTTCTTCCTCTTGGGTGACTCAAGTTCTATGAGCTTTAATCAATGGGAGAAAGAAAGTCATTATTGATTGGTCTATTACAGAGAACCAAACCGATCTACTTAACCTATAAAGTGAGAAACCATCTTGAAAGCAGGCTTTGTTCTTAAAACCAGTAATTTGTCACCTGCCATGTAACGGATATGCTCCATTTTTGTTCCAGTAGTACAGCTGGGCAAACACTGTGGAAATGATGCTGTTGTCAGTATGAATTCAATGTTCTTTTCCAACCTCTCCCAAAATGCACTTTGTTCCCTATTCACACACATTGGATACAGCCTACTCGCTCTAAAAAAATCCACACTATTTTTTTATTAATAAAGAAAATGCGATTCTCTCCCTGCAACCTGCATACTGATAAACAGAACTTTATAATATGTACAAACACAACATTATAAACTTCCTATCAGTAAATGCAGGTCACATTCCCATTCTATACAAAGTACTGTATTCTCCCATCATTCTTGGGTACAAGCTCCTACAATTTCAAAAACAGCAGATTCAGCACAGTGGAAGACCTTTATCACAGAACTGAAAGAATACTGCAGGGACAAAGTGGTTTACAGTGTACCAAAGCTCAGTGTTTATTGGACAGAAAACTAAAAAATTCTAGAATTTGTTTATTTTTTGATTTAGAAAAACAACAACAAATTAATTTACCATAAAATATTTTAAAATGTTAAAATTAAATTTTTAATTTATTAATTTCAAATTTTCACCAATTTTTATATAAATTCTTTATTAGCCTAATATGTAGCACTACTAGAAAAAATTCATGACCATTTATGCAAATAAAGTAACTTCTTTGTTAAAGCAACATTTAAGAATGGATACACTACAGTCCTATTAAAAAATGTTATTGACTTTTGTAGATCAAAATGTTTTTTCCTTAAATTTTAACAATGAAGTTCAATACAAAAAGGCCACTGAATTAGGTTAATTTTTTTCCAACACAGTAATAATAAAAGACAGTTTAAAAAAAACCTTTTGCTTCAGATTCTCTGAAACTCAGCACTCATAAGGTTAAATTGGCTATGGTGCCCAAGGAAGCTGTAGTCACTAATTTCTATTGCAATGGACACAACAATCTTAAGGTAGAGAAAGCTAGAGGAAAATATTTTTCCTGCCAAGCAATGACAAATAAGTGGCCTTTAGGATGGCCTTGTGTATGAAATTTCTGCCATGCTGAAAACCTTTGTTATGTGATGTCTCCAATGCAAATTATATTATCTATTTTACTCCATTCTAGTAAAAAGGTTTTTATGATAATTAAATCTAGTGCCTTTGGATTTTCCTTCTGGTCTTCAATGACAGGAAGAAATGAAATGCATAGATCTACTCTCTATGAGCACACAATTTTGAGAACAAGTTGGTTATCAGAAAACAAAACACCACCAAAAAAAAAAAAAATCAGCCTTTGATTGTGGAAAATGTAAAACAAAAAATTCTTCTCTTCTGTTTTATTTATGATTTTCCTTGCACTTTTTATTAAGCTGTTAAAGGAATTGTATCAACTATGTTCTTTAGTTTTTCACAGAATCATAGAATGGTTTGGGTTGGAAGGGACCTTAGAGATTATCTAGCTCCAACCCCCCTGCTATGGGCAGGGACACCTCCCACTAGACCAGGTTGCTCAAAGCCTCATCCAGCCTGGCCTTGAACACCTCCGGCAATAGCGCATCACCACAGCTTCTCTGGGCAACCTCATCAAGTGTCTCACTACCCTCACAAGAAAAAATTCCTTACTAATATCTAATCTAAATCTGCCCTCTTCCAGTTTAAATCCATTACCCCTTGTCCTGTCGCTACATGTCCTTGTAAAAAGTCCCTCCCCATCTCTCCTGTAGGCCCCCTTCAGGTACTGGAAGGCCGCTATAAGGTCTCCCCAGAGCTTTCTCTTCTCCAGGCTGAACAACCCCAACTCTCTCAACCTGTCCTCATAGGGGAGGTGTTCTAGCCCTCTGATCATCTTCACAGCCCTCCTCTGGACATGCCCCAACAGCTCAACATCCTTCTTGCACTGGGGGTCCCAGAGCCGAACACAGTACTCCAAGTGGAGTCTCACGAGAGCAGAGTAGAGGGGGAGAATCACCTCCCTCCACTTGCTGGTCACGCTCGATGCAACTGGAGCTCACAGAAAGAATAATCAACAGAGATCTAAACCTAAACGGCCTTTTTGTATGAAAAAATACTCCAAGAATTAAATGACTCAGGCTGAGAATAGAAAACACAATGAAAAACACATTTAATAAAAAGTGACTGTAAGTCCAAAAATTGTATCTGGGGTGGACAGGTGAGTTAGACATGGCAATTGTTGTTATTGTCTGGCTGGAAAACAGAAAATTAACTGACTTGTATAGGAAATAATGAGTTAAGTAGGGTCAGACAGAAGATCTTTCATTCCTCTTGCTACAGTGATTCTAGCCTGAAATAAATAACTGGAATAGGATTAGAAGCAAGCAGTTGAAATGTTCCAGGAGAAGAAGAGGTGAATGAAAACTTATTTCAATATACTTGTGTAATTATAATTACTAGTTGAAGGAAAAAGAAAAAAGAAAAATAAATTATGTTCTTAATTATACTACCTCAGAGGAACAAATGAGGAACTAAGTTATATTGTGTCTATGAGAGTCTGTCAACAAAAATAAAGTGCATAAAGGCATACTGAAATGCAGAAATTACATAGAAGCGTAAAAACAAAATTTAAGAGAGAATTTTCATTTCCAATAAAATGCTTAAGTTCAAAGTACAACTTAAGTTCAGAGTAAAACAATAGGGTAAAATATATAATGATTTTTAAACTACATTTTAAAAAAGAATGTACAATTATTCACAGTGCCTATGCAAATTACTTGGATGTGCATAGTTTTCTGTTCTCAGAGATAAAAATAATTTTTGTACCTTCATTAGTCTGGATTACTTTTGGCAAGCAAAATATAAATAGCAGATGCTGTAATATTCTAAGCACATTCATATTTATATAATGGCTAATGTCACTTCATGATTATGTTTTTCATATGCTAAACATGATTTTGCATTAAGAGCAATTTTGATTAGCAGAAGTCTGCATCTCCAGTTAATGATATAAATCTTTGTGAATGCAACGGCCATCACATATGGCAAATATTAAGAAACGCTTTCCTCAACTTCTGTTGCATGGATATACTTTTATATAGATTACAGGACTATTTTTAGTTTTATTTCTCCAATCCTTCCATGTTGCATGGCATAAACTACGAAGTGAGGTTAATTTTCAATCATTAGAAGCTTACTACACTGTGATAAAGAGTGCCTGTGAAAAAGCAATGACACTTTAATGAAAAATCCCCACACCTGAGGAAACAAAAGACTAAGAAAATTCCTCAGGCTACTAAAACAAAACGTAATTACATTCCCACCTTTTTGATCTTACTCTTGTTGCCTTTTGCTTACATGTGGACATGTTTGCCCCCTTATAATTTCCCTCTATCTCAACAGTGATAGCTGCTGTGCTGCATGAATCCAGCTGCCAACAGTGCAGCTTTTACCAGAGGGAAAGGTCAGGTTTTCATTAATGGTTTCCTATTTTTGGAGCATCACAGCAGACTTTAATGAGCTCCATATCTATACTAGCTGTATGCAAATTAGGGATTTGTTTTAGCTGAAAATATCAAAAGTTACTCTTTCGCTGTTTGCTCAAAAGACAGGATGCTTCAGTACAGAAACAGCTGTAGGAAAAAAACTCTTAGTCCACCTTTCCACTTATTTGGCTTGCTGTTCTTCAAGGCAAATATGTTTCATTTTGAAAAAGATTTCATACTTTTTGTGAACATAAATAAAACATTGATGTCATGAAAACAACCCCAAATTAATGCATGCATGAGATGTCATTTAAGTATGGTGTACATATAAGAATAGAAACATGGGAAACAAAGACCTCACTAGGAAAAATTAAAAACTATGCACTGTTTTAATATTTCTTAAACACAAATTAATCTAAAATGGCACTATTCACTAAACTGTAGTAATAAATTACTGTAAATATGATAATACGTAAGTTTCAGCTTAAGCCAAATTGTTGCATATGCACACTTACGTTACAGTACCTTTGAATTTAACAAAATTCAAGAAGCACCCTAACGTTTTAGTAAATTATATTCACAAGAGAATACAATTCAAATTTAAACTGGAAGAGGGCAGATTTAGACTAGATATTAGGAAGAAATTCTTTACTGTGAGGGTGGTGAGATACTGGAACAGGTTGCCCAGAGAAGCTGTGGATGCCCCAACCCTGGAGGTGTTCAAGGCCAGGCTGGATGAGGCTTTGAGCAACCTGGTCTAGTGGGAGATGTCCCTGCCCATGGCAGTGAGGTTGGAACTAGATGACATATAATTTCTCTTCCAAACCAAACTATTCTATGATCCTATATTTTGGATACAGTTGACGTTATTAAGTATGTCTTTTATAAACCATAGAAAAAAAGAAAAGCGTATCTTCCGCAACTAAAATCTTCCCTCCAACTTTCAACACTGCTAACTTTGAATGTGTAGAAATAATAAGCCCACCCTCTGCCATCAAAATAATTACTTTATGAAATGAGCACCCTTTGTCCTGATTTTCTTTAGGAAATCAGCCCATTCCTATCATATGTACATAAAGCTGATACTAGCTTCAGGAAAATGCAACATATACACAGATAATTCCTCAGGGCAGATTGTTTCAATGTTTGATTTTCCTTTTTTTTTTTTTTTACCCTACTATTGAATTTACCTGTCCCAACTACATTCTTCACCACATTTCCTGCTGGCATACCACATTCACACTTCCTTTTCTCCTCACCAGACATCCACTTCCATAATACATCCTCTCCCTCTACACAAATCTCCCACAGCTACCATGTTTTAATCACTGCAATACTGTCTATGCTGTATTTCCCAACATTTCTTGTTGCATCTTCAATCCCTGTATAATTTTGAAGAAACTCCTCTTCCTTGGCTGGGTTGATCCCTTAGCTTTTCTTTCTGAAACATTATGCTGATTCCTACAGTCAGTGTTAAGAATCAACTGGAAAAATCTAATATCCCCGCAGGGAAAAATAATCAAAAATAGTGATGGAGTATTCAATGAAAAAGAATATTCTGAAGCAGCAGTACTAAAGGTGATGTATGTAAGGTTGATCAGGGACAGTTTTACATACTTAAGATAGTGCAACAAAAAAATTCAGCTTCCTGTTCTCATTAAGGGCTAACCAAGCAACAAAACACCAATCTACTCCTGGGCTTCTGTGTTTTGACATGAGTGTTATATTAGTAAAGGACAACTGGAAAAACTTCTGAAAATATACAGACAGTTGGTGACAAAGATTAATGCATTATTTACATGGGAAAATAAGGACCCAGTTCTATCCTAAAAGTTTTCAGAAAGGTAAAAACTTTGCACAAGCACAGCTTATAAACATCAAAGCTCTGCTCATTTTTCATTTGCTTGTGACAAAACTATAACAGAAATGCACAGAAGATCCTTAACTTACAGATCAATCAATCCAATGATTAGAACTTGCATTAGGTCTGGCTGAGACAGAGTTAGTATCCCCACAGCAGCCCTCATCACAGTGCACACTGGCAGCCAGCAGGATGTTTATAACACCTTTTGGGAGGGGCGGAGCCGGAACAGCTGGCCCGGATTGGCTGTTCCATAACATGTGACATCAGCTCAGCCATAAAAGCCAAGGGCAGGGAGGAGGAGGGGGGCATTTGTTACTGTGTTTGTCTCCGGGAGCAGCTGCTGCACACACTGAAGCTCTGCTTTCCTGGGAAGTGGAGAATAACATCTTTGCTTACCTTTTGTTTCTGTGCATGGCCTTGGCCTTTGCTGTAATTAAACTGCTTTTATCTTGACCCATGAGTTTTTAATCTTATTCTCCCCCTTTATTTTGCTGAAGGGGGAGTGACAGAAGGGCCTGGTGGGCACTTGGCATCCAGCCAAGGTTAACCCACCACAGAACTACAATACTAACTTGTTATAAATCTTCAACCCCTCACACTGCTGAGTACCTCACATGGATAAAATTCATTATGTAATATTAGACCATCGTGTATATATCTTATTTGCTTAAAACAAACAACTGTGTAGCACTATCAAATTGCTACCTTTTATCTGAAAAGCTGAAATACAGGAACACAAAATATAGGAATAACATAGAATCATAGAATGTTGGATTGGAAGGGACCTTAAAGAACATCTAGTTCCAATCTCCCTTCCACTAGACCATGTTTCTCAAAGCTTCCTCCAGCCTGGCCTTGAACACCTCCAGGGCATCCACAACTTTCTCGGGAAACCTGTTCCAGTGTCTCACCACCCTCACAGTAAAAATGTCTTCCCAATATGTAATCTGAACAAATCATGTAAACTACATATATGAAGCATCTGTCATCATGAAATAATATAAAAAACAGACAAATTATCCATATTGTATTTCATGGGGGAAAAAAAAAAAGGTCTTGCACTTCATAAACCTTACAAGACAGCTAACCAGACAAAATCTCCTACAAAGGTTAGCTAAGTTCAGGCATCATGGAAGCTTCAATTAAAACGTAATACAGTATTCAAAAGCCTTTATCCTAATCAACATTCAAGGAAAGAGAGAACAAGGTACTTAACAGTCTGAATCTAGGAGAAAATATTTCAAAGAATTCTTGATTCACTAGTGGTGAATTCTGAGCAAATACACAAAGAAAAGCATTTAAATAAAATTTTATAAGTACAAATTCAATGCTTTTTCTGAACCAGTTTTTTTAAAAAACAATCTTGTATCCTAAAAGATACATGAAGATATAAGCAGAAACTATAGTAATGGAACTATGAGGCATTACAAATTAAGTTTGTATATCAGGAAAAAAGTGTTAGTGAAATGTATCAGACTGCAGAACACATACGTAAAAGTGCACAATCTGGAATTTTAGAACTAAACTTAACATATGCTGAAGGATTTAATTTAGGGGAAAGTGCTCCACTGGCACAGAAACTAATTACACCATTTAATAAACTATGTCCAGTTCTCATATTATTGATTCTGCAACTGTGAAGTCAGTTTTTGATGAAAAACAACATCAGATGTCACTCAGAGTACCTATCATATGGACAGCTAATTTCTGTGTATTCTGGAAAAGTGTTGGACAGGTGTCATGGCTTTCACATTCAGTCCCTGTTTTCTACCTCCATAGTTTTCCTTTTTTCCTCCCCATCTTCTTCAGCCACCACTCCTTCCAAAGCTTGTGAGTGCTGCATATGCACGTGACTGTCTCATCTAAGAGGTGTGCACTGTGGTGGCTACTACAAAAGTCTTCTTACTTCCCTGACAAATGCACATCATGAATTATCTATTGTCATACCACAAGTAGTTTCAAGACATTGTGCAAAGATCCACAGGGAGGCAAACCTAGAGATGCAAAGGACATTGCTTCTCATTTTTACATTTGTATTGCATTTACTTGGACATCCAAATGAAAGGAGAAATGATATAGCAAATAATACCAGAAACACATTATTTAAAGAAAAAATTGTAAATATTCATTAACGTCAATTAAATTTCTATGAGCTATTACATGAATTCCATAATAATTTACAGTTAGAATGCGTACTACTGGTGTCTGTACTGCTCTAGTTAAGGAACAGATCTTGAAAACAGCTTCCCTTTCTCTGGGTATTTTAATTCCAGAAAATGAAATTGATAAAAGAAGAGCAAAAGAGGTCATTTAGCAGCCTTGTACAAAATCAAGTTCTTCACTACATTGTGAAGAACTGTTCTTCCTGAATTTTTTTTTCAATCTTCCCAAAACCAACAGCCACCTACCTGTTGCTGAACTGGTACTTGCTGCACCACCTGTGTGGGCACTGCTGCCTGGCCAGCCACAGATGTCTGTAAAGTCACAGTTGAACTTGTATCCGACCCAGTCTCTGATGTCTGCATCGTGATCTCTGAATAAAATTAAGGTGTAAAATTAAAAGATTAGTGCGTTAGGTTTTTTTTATTTTGTCACTTATACTAGTATACTAGTTTGTCACTTATCTCTAGTTAGAATTAGCTAATACCAAACTTGGTATGAGCTAAAAGGTTTTCCCCCCTACTAGCGTATAAGCAAGTACAAAAGGTCTTTTATCTTACTTATAATGAAAATATCTTTTATTTACATGTGCAGAAACATATATCCTCTGAGATCTGTTACTTTAGGAATAACTCAGAAAAATGAGTAGCAAATCTTCCCTGAGCTTGTAAATAACTGGTCATCATTGAAGATTTGGGTTTTTTTCACTGTCTTACTGAATTACACTAAAAAATCTATGCATTCAAATTCAATGTTAAACTTGCAGCAGACCACAGAAGGAAGCACTGTAATCTGGAAAGTAAACTCTGAAAAGCATTTAATGAGTCACAGTGAAAAAACAACTCAAATAACCTTCTTCATTAGAAAGTATTAAAGCAACCACTGTAGTTAAAATCTGAGAATAAAAAAACCACATAGTAATACACATGCAGTAGAAAAGTGCTTAAGATCATGGCCCTGACATTTAAAGGGAGCAATGAAAAATTGGACAGAACACAGAAATGGTTCAAGAATCAAGGAAAATGCCTTATGAAGAAAACATATCAGAAAGACAACTGAGGATGACTTCTGTCTTCACAGGAAACATAGACTGGTACTATGGGATTCCTCAACTTTGCACAGCAGAAATAACAATATAATTGACTGAGTGACAAATCAAAATTAATTCAAAATTAGGAATTAGACCTTTTTTTCTTTCTTTCTTTTTTTAAAAATTAAAAAAAATTAACCTGTAAAAATAATAACCAGATGAGGCAAGTACTTCTTCACCTGGTACCTTCAAAACAGAAGACTGTCTCTGTGAAGAATTACAGTAAACAAACACGAAATACTAGTCCGTAAACCAAATGTTCTGTGATCTACAAGTTTTACTGCCCTTAATCTCTATTAATCCATATTAGCTACAGAATACTTTGGCAACCTGAGGACCAATGTCACTAAAAATGAGTAGCATTATCATGCACAATAAAAGAGGTTTATATGAAAAAAATCTACAAATATTTAGAATGCCCTATCCAGGTGATTTTTTAGTTTAACTGAACAGACTCAGATGGCTGACAGGGAAGAAACTAGACTTTAATCCTCCCACATCTCAAAAAAAGTGACAACCTCCCCCCCCCCCCCAAAAAAAAAAACCCTACAATATTTTTTGAGACAAAACTATAATAAAAAATTTGTCTATTCAGGGGCATAGGAATATAAAGCAGGAAGAATTCATTACTGTACCAAAAAAACATTAGAGCCTCTCAGAAAATTCAAGGTTCTTCTTGCTTGACAACTGAACCAGCTGCAACAACAGACCTTGCTTTCAAGGCTGGGTTCCATAGCAGTTTAAGCTGATTTAAAGCTGTGTTTCTGCAGTCCCTCCCTCCAACTACCTCCAACTCACTTTGCTATATAAATTTGCGATGCAGGCTGGGGATAGGGGCGGGACTTTGCCAACAGGGACCATCATTGGTTTAAACTCCATGGACCATGCTTATGGTACCTGACATATTTAACTGCTTATGAAATATTCAGAAAGACTGATAAATTGTTGATCACACCTATTCAAGATTAATCAATAAACTTTCAGAGTTATCGTATTGACTGAACCCTCTACTTCTTTCCAGCATGCCTAACAAAAATCACGATATAAAATGAAAAGAAAAAAAGAATAGAACTTCACAGATTGAAATGTTAAAAATCCTAACAATGAAAATGGATGCTCACAGGATAAATATGGAGGAGTTGGAAGCCACCGTACTGCTAGAAAGCTACAACCCACTGCCATTACTGAAAGCTGGTAGGATGAAGCCCATGACTGGAGTATGGTTATCAAGCGCTATAGGCTGTTCAGAAGGGACAGGTGAAGAAGGAGGTGCAGAACGGTTGCCCTCTACATCATGAAATGGATAGATTGTTAAAAGCTGTCTCCAAAGAAGAGCCATGAGCAGGCTGAAACTTATGGGTAAAAATTAAGACATCGAGGAAACACAGGGAACCTTGTGGTTGGTGTTCACTACAGGCCTCCTGATCAAGGAGAGCCTCTGACAAAGCCTTCTTACTCCAGCTACAGGAGGCATCATGCTCACAGGCCCTCAGAGTAGCATGGCGAGCTGTAGGCAATCCAGGAGACTCCTGGAATGCACTGAGGATAACTTCTTAAGTCAGGTATTAGACAGCTTTAGCAGAGGGGATCCTGAGGGTGACCAATGCAAGCGAGCTAACTGGTGACATCAAGATTGGAGGCTGCCTGGACTGCAAAGAGCATGTACTGGTGGAGTTCACAGTCCTGAGGAATCAGGACAGGTCAGGCAAAGAGTAAAGCCAGGACCCTGAATTTTAGGAAAGCAAACTTACAGATCTTCATGTAGTTAGTCAATAGAACCCCCTGGAAAACTGCCCTGGAGACAAGTGAGCAGAACAGACCCTGGCAGACCTTAAAGGACACTTTAATAGAGCATAAGAGCTCTCAACCCGCAGGTGTAAGAAACCAGGCTAAGGACAGCAAGAGATTGGCATGGATGTGTCAAGACCTGCTGGTCAAACTAAATGGCAAGAAGAAAATGCATCAGCAGTGGAAGCAGGGACAGGTATTCTGGGAAGAGTATCAGGACACTGCCCAGTTCTGTAGTGATGGGGTCAGGAAGGCCAAGGCGCAGCTAGAGCTGAACTTGGCAACGGATGCATAAGAAGGGCTTCTATAGGTCTGTCAGTCAGAAAAGGAAGGTCAAAGAAAGTGTAACGCCTCCGGTGAACTTGACTGGCAAAAAAAACCTGGTAAAAACAGACAAGGAGAAGGCTGAGGTACTCAACACCTTTTTTGCCTTGGTCTTCACTTGCCACCTCTCTTCCCACACCTCTTAAGTGGATGGAACTCAGGGCAGGGACTCAGGGAGCAAAGTCCCTCCCACTGTAAGAGAAGATCTGGTTTGAGACTACCTGAGGAGCCTGAGCATACATAAGTCTATGGGGCTGGGGCCTGATGAGATGCATCCCAGAGTTCTGAGGAAATTGGCTGACGTAGTTGCCAAGCCATTCACCTTGATACCTGAAAAGTCATGGCAGTCAGGTGAAGTCCCTCATGACTGGAAAACGGGCAATATTGCACCCATTTTTAAAAAGGGGAGAAAGGAGGACCCTGGGAACTACCAGCTCATCAGTCTCAGCTCTGTTCCTGGGAAGATGATGGAGCAAATGCTCCTAGAAGCTGTGTTAAGGCACATGGAGGACAGGATGGTGATTCCAGACAGCCATCATGGCTTTATCAAGGGCAAGTCTTGCCTGACCAGCCTAGTGGCCTCCTATGATGGAGTGACTCTTATCAGTGGACAAGGGAAGAGCTATGAATGACATCTGCCTGGACTTCTCTAAAGCCTTTGACATGATCTCCCACAACATCCTTGTCTCTAAACTGGAGAGAGATGGATTTGATGGATGGTCTGTTCGGTGGATAAGGAATTGGCTGAATGGTTGCACCCACAGAGTAGTGGTCAATGGCTCAATGTCTAGATGGAGATCAGTGACGAGTGGTATTTCTCAGGGGTCTGCACTGGGACCAGTGCTGTTTAGTATCTTCATCAACGACATGGACAGTGGGATCGAGTGCACCCTCAGCAAGTTTGCAGATGACATCAAGCTGAGTGGTGCAGTTGACACACCTGAGGGATGGGATGCCATCCAGAGGAGCCTGGACAAGCTGAAGAAGTGGGCTCACACGAATGTCATGAGGTTCAACAAGGCCTAGTGCAAGGTCCTGCACCTGGGTCAGGGCAACCCCTGGTAGCAACACAGGCTGTGGGATGAAGGGATTGAGAGCAGCCGTTAGGTGAAGGACTTGGAGGTACTGGTGGATGAAAAGCTGGACATGAGCTGGCAATGTGCACTCACCGTCAAGAAAGCCAACTATGTTCTGGGCTGCATCAAAACAAGCATGACCACCAGGTGGAGGGAGGTGATTCTGCCCCTCTACTCCACTCTTGTGAGATCCCACCTGGAATATCCCACCTGGTGTTCAGCTCTGGGGACCCCCAACATAAGAGAGACATGGACCTGCTGGAGCAAGTTCAGAAGAGGGCCACAAAGATGGTCAGACGGCTGGAGCACCTCCCGTATAAGGACAGGCTGAGAGAGTCGGGGTTGTTCAGCCTGGAGAAGAGGAGGCTCCAGAGAGACCTTATTTAAGCCTTTTAATGCTTAAAAGAGGCTTATAAGAAAGATGGGGAGAGACTTTGTGGCAGGGCCTGTTGTGATACAACAAACAGTAATGATTTTAAACTAAAGAGGGTAGATTCAAACTAGATATAACGACATTTTCCCCAATATATTGTTCCAACTATAAGGAAGACATTTTTCACTATGAGGTTGCTGAAACACTGGAACAGGTTGCCCACAGAGGTGGTAGAGGCCCCATCCCTGGAAACTTTCAAGGTCAGGTTGGATGGGGCTCTCAGCAATTAGATCTAGTTGAAGATGTTCCTGCTCATTGCAGAGGAGTTGGACTAGATGACCTTTAAAGGCCCCTTCTAACCCAAACTATTCCATGATTCTGTGATTCTATATTTACTGTAAAATAGCAATTTTCATACTTTTTTTTTTGCCTACAGAAAATGCTGTATAAAATTCAGAATAAAGTTATTTAATGCTAAAATCAGTTCCACCATTCCCATATCAGTCCATCCTGACTGAAAACCAATAGTTGTTCCCTTAATTCCAATATTAACAAAAACAATTTCCAGTAATAATATCCAGAAATATTTTTCTTTTACTTTCCAATATGCAATCATCTTGAAGTTTCTCCAGACAAATTAACAAGACATTGTGCCATATAAGGCATCCTTAAGTGCATTAGACCAAACTCATCCACAGTGTAAATGTAGGAGCT